CTGGAAAGGCTCAAACGTTCCGAAAAATGCCTAAATCATTTCCTCAACAATGTCTATTCCTAGAATTTTGCCTCAAGCATTTCTCTACTAGGTTCTAGAGTCCACCAACATTATCAAAACTTTACCTAACCACATAAAATGAATCTAAGCATGCCGAAATAAATGAAAATGGTGGTTGAACCACTCAATAAACCTCAATCAAAATTCAGTCAATCAACATAAACTTGAAGCAATGCTTAACATTTTTCAACAATAAAATCCCAACAACCCTATTCTCATCATCGATTTATACAATTCATCATTGGCATACACAACAAAACATGAAAATAAAATAAACACAAATAAAAAATATTGAAATTTTTCCTACCCCCAAACTAAAGAGGACATTGTCCCCAATGTCACATTATGCGCAATTTAAGAATAGAAAAACAGAAATCTACAAAGGTATGAGATAGTTCCCTGATTAATCCGTGAAGTTGAAGTTCCGCTCAACAGTGTGCACACTCGGTCCTTGACTTTTTCATCACCAAAATCTGTAAAAACAATTAAAAACTGTGGTGTCCACTATGTTAGAAAAATTCACTGACTAATATGAAAATATTACAACCCTAATCTCGTCTTTACATCTACTAGGAGATTAAAACAAAATTAAAACAATCCAAAACAAAAAGCAGCAAATTAGGTCAATGTTCGAAATGAAATACAAAAACAACTAAAACAAAGAAAAATAAAATACAAGAACAGGTGCTCAGGTTCATTCTTCGGCCTCCTCGTCTCCCTTGGCGTCGTCCTCTTCTGAGTCGGAACCCATCCATTCATCTGAATCCCAGTCAGCCCATTGGAATTCCGAAGTATCAACGTTGAGCTTGGTGAAACTACTTTTCTGCATGTCATACATCATCTGGGTCTGCTCTGCCAACCAATCATGACATTTTGCCATCCGTTTCATCTGACCCATTATCTGTTGCGTCATTTCCTTCATAGTGGCAGTGGAACTGGATGATGTGGCAATGCCTTGTGTGGTTCTCTGTCGTTTTGTCTCGGCACTGGGTCGCTCACTGGCTGGACGTTCAAGATGCTTGTGATAATAGTCTGAGTAGAGAACTAGGGCAACATGGATAAGTGGCTTATCATCAGTTGCCTCGATTCCTACTCGAGTGCACAACTCTATAATGAGATGTGGGAAAGGGTAACTCCTTCGCCCTGGTTTGGCTATATGCTGAATGTTGTTCAGGATGATTTGTCCCACATCCATTCTCTTTCCTGTGGAAATAGAATAGAGCAATAATGCCTTCTTATAAGTCACCGTACTATAGTACATCTCTGGCATCATCCTTGCACAAATAAAGTACTGCTACAACCGAGCCACCGGTGTCAAATTAGTTCCCTTGATGCTCTTCTTGCCCTTTTTTGAAATCTCCCAAGTGGTATCCGGTTTTGTAATGACTGGAAGAATAATGTCATCCTCAAACTGTGTATTCCTAAAATCCTCATAATCATTACTGTCAATCTTAGGCAGGTTATAAAAATCATTGATGACCTTCGCATTAAATGCCACATCAGTACCCCTCACAAACACAGCACTAGATTCACACTCTGGGAGGTTGGCATAAAACTCTCGCACTATCGGCTCTACAGCCGCATGTGCAGGTTCACTCATAAACAATTCCCAACGTCTTCCTCGATTTCAATCCTTAGCCTGGCTCGCGGTCAATCCACGCTCAGGAATAAATCCTTTATCTTTCCTTTAGATTGCCCCTTCATATAGTTTCTGAGCCTTGTCATTCACAAATCGGTTGTCCACTTTTTTTCCTTTTCCTTTCCCCCTGGACAACATTTTGAGCGGCATTTTTTTTCAAACTACCAATCAACCCAAAAATTCAACCCTAAACACCCTACAAACAACCACAATCAATCCTGCAATGAAAACAACACTTCCAAAATTTTGCACCTGGACCCACAAACTTCGATTCTTCCAAACTCAACCAACCACTCTAAAATTCAAAACTCAAACTCCTCAATATCACATAATTCACGATCCACACTGCCTTAATCACAATCAAAACATAAACTTCACGAAAATCCCAAAACTCAACTCAACACTCAAATCTCAGATTCAAGTTTAAAAATCAAAATTGGTTAATTTAAAGTTTGAAGGGCTTGAAATCTTACCAATCCCAAGATGCTTTCACCACCAATTTCACCGATTTCAGCCCAGATCGCAAGATCCCCAAATTTTGTAAACCCAGGGTTTTTAAAATTTTTCATAGAAATCCTCGCTAAAATGAGTTGATTTTTTGTTTGGGAGAGTTTAGGAGTTAGAAGCAGTGATGGAAGTTCACTGGAAAGGCTCAAGAATGAAGGTGGGAAAATTTGCTCTCAAATGTGTTTGAAGTTTTTGCGTTGAAAATGAAAAGTCGGGTGGGTATTTATAAAAAGCAGACTTCGCCGCGGCAAAGTTCTTCAATTAAAAAACCCTAGATTTTAAACCCAGTCGATGCCGCGGTGAAGACAAACTTTTCTCTGTGGCGAAAAATTACAGAAGCTCATTGCCTTGGCGAAGAACAAGCTTCGCCGCGATGAATTTTCCTTAGTGAATTTCACCCAACTTTCTTCGTGCGGAAAAATATAGAGGCTCATCACCTCGGAGAAAAAAATTACTTCGCCGCGGTGAAGTCTGGGGCTTTCCGACTTCCAGTTTTTGCAAAATGTGCTTCGCTGCGGCGAAAACTAGAAGAATTCCATTTTCTGCCTTGATTTGATAATTCACCTGAAACACCCAAAAACACACAAATTAGATTTCATCTAAAAATCGTAAGAAAACTAAACAACTTCAAAATAGTAAATAAACAACAACAAATGAAAACACTTGGGTTGCCTCCCAAGGAGTGCTTGTTTATAGTCAGAAAGCTCGACTCTCTCAAGTTCTCGTTTTCGGATGTCAGGTCAGATTATCTAAATACATCAACTCTCGAGCATTGTCCTTGCACCGAAGTTTCAATTGCGGAGGATTTTTGTCACCTAGGGCCTTTGTTGAGAGCTTAACCACCCATTTCCATTCCTTGGTCATTCCTTTCATGGCCTGAACATTCTTACCAACAGCTTTCAGTTTTCTTGATTTTTCTTCACCCTTTTTGAGCGGAGGAATCCATCCCTTGTGAGGATACATGCTCAGTTGTGGCCCATCTTGGAATGGTGTAAAACTCTATGGGTTGTGGTCCTTTTCATTGAATCGCCTTGACTTGACCGTGCATCCTTTAATTGACAAATTAGGATCATTAAGTTGGGAAGTTTCAATTGTTGACTGACCTACCGAATCAATTTTGAAACATGACTCTTGCTTCAGTGGAGCTTTCAGAGACTCAAGGACATTGAATGTCACTTCCTCATCTTGCATCCTTGTGATCAACTTCCCCTCTTGAACATCAATTAAAGCTCTTCTGGTTGCCAGAAATGGTCGTCCCAAGATGAGAGAAATCTCCTTATCTTCTTCCATATCCAACACAAAGAAATTTGCTAGAAAAATAAATTTGTCCACTTTGACCGACACAGCTTCAACAATGCCCCTAGGATGCTTTATGGATCTATCTGCAAGCTGCAAGCATATTGTTGTCGGCTTCACTTCACCAATTCCTAATTTCCTGAAAACAGAAAAAGACATAAGATTTATGCTTGCACCTAATTCACATAAAACTCTATCAAAAGTAATGTCTCCTATAACACAAGGAATAGTAAAACTCCCTGGATCTTTGAGTTTCGGGGGTAGCTTCTTTTGGAGAATGGCGCTGCACTCCTCCGTAAACATCACTGTTTCCTCAACTTCTAACTTCTTTTTGTTTGATAAAATCTCTTTCAGAAATTTTGCGTAGCTCAGCATCTGTTGTAATGCATCTGCAAAAGGAATGTTAATGTGCAACATTTTAAATAAATCAAGAAATTTAATGAACTGCTTATCCTATTTTTCTTTTATGAGCCTTTAAGGAAAAGGCACCGAAGGTGTGTGATGTGCCAATTCTGGTGGTATCTCCGGAAATGGCAATTTTTCTTTCTTTTGCCTTTGCCTTTCTTCCCGCTTTTGTTCATCTTTCCTAGAACTGGTTGGCTCCTCTTCAACAATTATCTCTTCGTCCACTTCCTCATCATAATCTTCCTTTTCTTTTGGTGGACTTCTTTCTTTCCTTGATTGTTCCACCTCTTCCAAGACTGTCCCACTTCTCAAAGTTATTGCGTTCACTTGCTCTCATGGGTTAGTCACTATGTTGCTTGGTAGGGACCCCTATGGTCTCTCATTTAACTTATCAGCCAATTGACCCACTTGTACCTCCAAGTTCTGAATAGACGCCCCTTGATTTCTGAAATTTGTTCTTGTCTCATTCATAAAACCTATGGTCTCCTGCATAAACTTTCCAAACATGTCCTCCAATTTTGTCACTCTTTGCTCTCTTGATTGATTGTTCACCCCTGTTTGGTTGTTTGGCAATGCTCTTTGGTTCCATTGATTGTTCTGCTGATTCTGTTGATTCTGATTGCCCCAAGACAGGTTCAGATGATTCCTCCAACCAGGATTATATGTGTTGGAGTACGGATTGTTCAGTTGCCTTTGATTTCCTGCCAAGTAGTTAACCTGCTCTGATGATGATGCTGAAGCAAATGTGTTCCCCACTTGACAGTCGCTGCTCAAATGATTACCTGCACAAAATTCACAAGTTAGTTGAGGTGCTTGGATGGAATTCACTTGCATACTTCCCAACTGTTTCTGAAGTGCTGTCAATTGGGCTGAAATGGCTGCATATGCATCAACTTCATGAAGACCCATAGATTTCTTTGGTTGAACCCTCTTATTAGGTCTTTGATAATTGTTGCTTGCTAGAACTTCAAGCAACTCGTGAGCTTCTTCCGGAGTCTTATTTTGCAGTGCTCCTCCCGAGGCTGCATCCACCATAGTTTGCACATTCACCATCAATCCGTTATAAAATGTTTGGACTTGTGTCCAAACTGGCAACCCATGATGTGGACACCTCCTTAGTAATTCTTTGTATCTCTCCCAAGCCTCATACAATGATTCCGACTCTTCTTGTAGAAACGATTGTAATATCATTTTTCAGCTTTGCCGATTTTGCTGGAGGAAAGAATTTGGTCAGGAACTTCTGTGCTAAATCGTTCCATGTTGTAATTGTTCCTGTTGGTGATGCCATTAACCATCCCTTAGCTTTATCCTTCAATGAAAACGGGAATAGTCTCAATCTGATGGCATCATCTGACACTCCGTTTGATTTGAAGGTATCACAAATCTCCAAGAAATTGGCAATGTCTAGATTTGGATCTTCCTTCAAATCTCCCCTGAACTGTACCGACTGCTAGATCATCTGGATGATTGCCGGCTTTATCTCAAAGTTGTTGGCTTGTACTGCTGGTCTAGTTATACTTGACCCACTGCCATCAACTGAGGGAACTGAAAACTCCCTTAGTGTTCTATTTTCTGCCATCTCTACAACCATAACTTCTGGTTCCACTGTAGCCTCTCCTTCTCTTCTTTCTTTGTTAAGTCTTCGAGTGGTTCTTTCAATCTCTGGATCAACAGGAACCACTGGCTGATGTCTTGCTCTTCGCATAAACTACACAGAAAAATAGAAAAAGTAGGATCACAAACCAACCTAAAAGAATAACAAAAATTAAACAAACAACAATTAAGCAAAAATAAAGCTCTAATCTAGCTAACACAAGAAAAATTTAATGTTAACACAAAACTCAATCCCCGGCAACGGCGCCAAAAACTTGATGCGTTGTTACTACAACATGCATAAATAGCAAGTGCACTAGTTGCACAAAGTAATAAAGTGATGAGTGAGTATCGTTCCCACGAGGATTGGTTGCCAAGCACTAAGTTTTCTACTGTTTTCAAGTTGGAGCAATCGAATTCGTTTGGATTAGTGGGAGAAAATTAAACTAAAACTAAAACAAAATTGCTAGGTAATAAAAACTAAATTATGAAAGCAAGATTAAAAACAAGGGTAAAATCAATTCAAACAAACGGGTAGGCCAGGTTTTGACTTCATTCAGACTCTATGGATTAAACCTATGGATTATGCTATTTCCATATTCACATGCATTGATTGTAAATCGATTTCTCTAAGTTGTGGAACATACCTCTCAGGCTATGTTTTCCTACTTTTCCCTATCAAACTTCCGCACCCAACAATTTGAAGATTAATAGTTCTAAGCTCATTAAGCACATGGAATCCTAGATTGATTTCATTGATTCTCAAATCTATCTCTAGCATTCAATACTACAATGGTGATTACCCAAGAAGCATAACATGACTCATTTCTGACTCTCATCATGTTCATCAGTTAAAAGCAATAAAATCAGAATAACCACACAATCCATGCAATAGCATATGAAAATAACAAAAATCAATTACTTAATCCATGGAAATCCGAATTACATCAAAACCCTAACCCAAAATGGGTTAGTTCATAGTTAAATTGACACTACAAGCAAGAAAATCGAATAACCCATTAATCAATATATTGATAATGAGAGAAAAGACAAGAGATCTCCCCTAGTTGAAGAATCCACAAGATTCAACCCCAAATCTTCTCACTTTTCAACCCAAAACTCGTCAAATCTAAACTAAGGAAAATGAAAATAAGCTGTTCTAGACTAAAAATGACGAGCCCTCTCAAACTGGCAAAGTTTTGCTTTTATAGTTCGCCCAAAAACCTAAGACTTTACCTAAAATGAAACTATATGTTTTAGAGAAAACTGGAATTCGCAGACTTCACCGCAGAGAAGAAGGAATCTTGTCGTGGTGACGAAGTAAAAATTGACTCTCGTGCGTAACTCCTTTCGCCCCGACGAATCTTCATGAAGAATTCTAAAATTACAGAATTACCCTCCGCTTGCTTCTTTGCTTGATTCTTTGATCTTCGATGCTCTCCCATGGGAACAAGCTTCATAGTGCTTTACTCTGCTTCAGAACTCTCCAACTTCTGAGATCCGCTTACTTTTGAGTCCAGAAACTCCAATTCGCTCATTATTTGCTAAAAATGTCTATTTTTGCCTGAAACACAAAATGTAAAGAATTAAGTAGTAATTCAGGTCAAAATGAACTAAGAAGTATCTAAAATCTGACCAAAAAGCCTAATAAGAACAGTATAATTCTCGGATTATTAGTGCACTAGTCGCAAAAAGTAATATAATGATGAAGTAGAGTATTGTTCCCACAAGGATTGCATGCTAATTACCAAGCTTCCTAATTCTATTACTAATTGAAGAACACAAAAACGTTTGGATTTGAGGGAGAAAGTAAAGCTAAAATTAAAGCACAATATTAAACTACTGAAATTAAAACTAAACTAATCAACACAAATTCAATTCAAGGCAAGAGAGGTTAAGGTTTCGACTTCACTAGGATACTCTAATTTAGTCTACAATTTCTATTGCTTTCAAATTCACATGCAAGGATTATAAATCGAACTCTCTAAGTTGTAGAATATACCTTCTCAGGCTATATTCTCCTACTTATCCCTATTAAGTAATAGTTCAAAGTCTATTAAGCTAAATGGAATCCTACAAAGATTTCATAGATTGCTAAACCTATCTCTAGCATTCGCTTAATCTACGGTGTTTACCCTAAGAAGCTAACACATGAATCACTTCTTAGTCTCATCATGTTCAACATTCAATTGAATAAAAAACTTAACATCCAATTGCATTAAGACAAGAATAAACACATAATCCAAGCAATAGAACTAAAAAACAACACAAATTTATAGACTAAGCCATTGTAATCCAAGTTACATCAAAACCCTAACCCAAAAGTGAGTTAGTTCATGCTCAAAATAAAGAAAAATGTCGTTTAAATTGTAAATATAGAGTTGAACATGTTAGAAATTGAAAAAGAAACAAAATCTTCCCTAATTTGGAGACCAAAACTCTTCAAATCCCTTTTTCGTCTTCCCTTTGCCTAAATGTTGACCTCCCTCTCAAAATGAGCTAACTCACTCTTAAATAGTCGGCCAAAACCCTAGGAACTAATACAATAATAGAAAAGCGCAACGTTTTACAAAAACTTAAAAATGCAGTTTTTGCCGCAGCGAAGAAAAAATCTTGCCATGGCATCGAGTTGAATTTCACTGACCCATGAGTCCAGAGGCTAGCTTGCCACAGCGAATAGAAAACCTTGTCGTGATGAAATCTTGATCTTCTTTGCTGAATTTACAAAACTGCCCTCTACTTGCTTCTTTGCTTAAATCTTCGATCTTCGTGATCCCCAATAGGAACAAACTCCAAGGGTGTCCAATCAGCATTAGAATTCCCTTGATCTTTTGAATTCCACATGATTCCAGGTCCAAAAACTCATTTTTTCTCAGTTTTGCTCCAACTGCACATTTTGGCCTGAAACGTAAAATATGCAAAATTAAGTAATAATTCAGACACAAAACTTGTACGAAGTATCCGAAATCCTACAAAAATCATAAAGAAAATAGTATAATCCTAGGATTATCGTGTACGTGGTGTCGACCATTGAATTGTGTGATTGGTTTGCTGGCTTGATTTTCATTTGAGGTTGGTAGTAGGAGCTATCACTAGTGTGAATTAAGTTTGTTGACCTACCTAATCAACCCATTTTGACTTGTTCGCTAAAGCAAAGGTTTGAAATGGGCTAGATGGGATCTCGATCCACTAGGAAAGCCAACGGGCTTTTCTGGGTTAATAGTGAGGGTTATTAGCTTGAGGAAAATAGTGGGAGCAATTATTTAATAAAAGACCTTGTTAAATAATAATAAACATTATAATAACATTTTTTTTTTTTTGTTCTTCTAGATTCATTAAAATGAGCAATACTAACCTATCACTGCAACTGATAATCAAGAAAGACAACAAGTTGGATAGATCCAATTTCTCAGACTGGTATCGAAATCTTCGAATTGTACTTAAGTCCGAAAAGAAACTGCATGTCCTAGATAAGCCTTATCCGGCTGAGCCTGCAGTTGATGCCACACAGGAAGTTAAGGACACTTGTAAAAAGTTCCTTGGTGATGCTGATAATGTTCAATGCATTACGCTAGCAACGATGACATCTAAGCTGCAAAAGCAGCATAAGAATATGGATGTGCATGCCATAATTCTACACCTCATGGAGTTATATCAAAAGAATGCTCGACATGAGAGGTATGAGGTGTCAAAGGAATTGTTTAGGAGCCGAATGGCTGAGGGAGCCCAAGTTGGTCCTCATGTGCTCAAGATGATTGGGTATATAGAGAGACTTGAGACTTTGGGTTTTGGTGTTAATGTAGAATTACAATGTGACTTAATTCTGTAGTCACTACTTGTTTCTTATTCACCGTTCATAATGAACTTCAATATGAACATGACGATGAAGTCCCTATTAGAGCTCCTAAATATGCAGGGGATTGTGGAGCAAGACTTGAAAAAGTCCAAACCTGTTTCACTAGTTGCTACTGGGAAGGGCAAGGGTAAGGGTAAGGGTAAGGCAAAGACCAAGGTCTATCCCAAGTCCAAACCCAAAGGACAAGATGCTCTTAAGCTTAAGAATGGTGTTGGAAAATGTGGGAACATAGTCTGTTTCTATTGTGGCAAGCTTGGCCATTGGAGGAAACATTGCAAGGTTTTCCTCGCAAGCAAGAAGAAGGCAGATTCTTAAACTTCAAGTATGTACATGATTGAGAATAACTTCTCCCTTCAATATCTTGGGTCATTGATGCAGGATGTGGTACTCACATTTGTACTGATGTATAGGGACTACGGTAGAGTAGATTGCTTGCCAAGGGAGAGGTGGACCTACGAGTTGGAAATGGAGCACATGTGGCTGCATTGGCTGTTAGATCTTATTGTTTGACTTTGCCTAAGGGCTTATTATTGGAATTAAATAACTGTTATTTCGTACCTTCAATTTTAAGAAATATTATTTCAGTATCCACTTTGGATGATATGGATTTTTTTTTTTTTTTTTGAAATTTCTAATGAATTGTTGTCTTTTAGTTTTAATGGCATTCTATTTGGAACTACAAGGTTATATAATGGATTATATTTTCTTGATTTAAACAATAAGGATATTCTCAATGTTGAAACAAAGAAAGC